TTTAATTCGTACAAGCTGTAATAATTCTTAATAGCCTCCTGTGGAGTATTCGACATAGGTAGCGAGAAATACTGATCCAAATTGGCATCTCGGGAATACTTGCGATAATATTCCATTACCTGGGCGGAGAGGCTCTTCTTGCCGGAGAGGTGCGACCTGAATTTGGACGGTTCGACCGACGGCGACGGCGAGTGGCACAAGGTGGGGACATCGTCGCATTTTTCGCGCGCCGGTTCGTCCGGATTCTCCAAGTCTTTCAGGCGACAGCCCTCGCAGCTGGATTCCGAGTCGTATTCCATACTAATACTAACTGTCTATGATACATTCTCTCGCACCCTCGACCTCTCATCCCCGAGTCCTTCTAGCGCGTTCAATCGTCCTGGAAATTCTCGTCGTTCGATATACGCGACGAGTAACAGTCGAACGAAAACATCTAACCCGCCTTAATACTCATAAATCGCTTTAGCGTCTATCGTCAACAAAAGCTTGTAGGTTATGATGCGGATATGTGCGTCACTTTGTGCCTCGAATATTCACGTCGAAATAACAATTCTCAGCGATTTCGTAAGTTTTCCCGCGATGCAATGTTCGCTTGGTATGTCCGCTTTGCTACGCACTGCGTAATCTAAGTGATGACAGTTACAATACAATTATTTACGTTATAACGACTGTTCAAATCAAATTCTTGTTTACATCCACTGCTCACCTAATACATTATAATTGGATGAGTTTTTGAACGCAACTCCGGATTTCTCGAGTTCCCGCTCGATTGGCGGATGGAAGCGGACAGTTTTGCGAACGCATTACTATCGCCGTCTATTTCCTATTTTCAGTAATTTCAGTAGAAAAACTAGTGCAATACTGGATGCAATTGAGAGCAAATCGGTTTATATCAGTTTACATATTTAATAATTTAATCCCTTTAATTTAATCCCTTTATTTAAACCCTTTTAAGGGTATCAATCATAAAACTTTATCCCTAGAATGAAAAGTGAAAAGTGAAAATTTTATCCAATGAAGTTAATGGAGAAATTTTTCACTTTTTACTTTTCATTTTAGAAAAAAAGTTTCATGATTGATACCAAGATTATGAGATTATATCATAGATCTGGGGGTCGATTCTGTATCTTCAAACAAGATGAAAATTACAAAAGTAAGCAAATTTACTAGGTGTTGACCAATGAAATTATCAGTATTCTAGTAAATTCGCTCACTTTTGTAATTTTTACCTCGTTTCAAGATACAGAATCGATTCCCTGATCTTTTTAATTGGGGGTTGATTCTGTATCTTCAAATAAAGTGGAAATTATGCAAGTGAGCGAATTTATTAGGTGTTGACCAATGAAATTATCAGTATTCTAGTAAATTCGCTCACTTTTGTAATTTTTATCTCGTTTCAAGATACAGGGAATCGATTCGATACAGAATCGATCCCCAGAATCGATCCTCTGGGGCTTGATTGTGAATTTTGAAATGAAGTGCAATGATTACTAGATACCGACCAATGAAATTATAAATATTCTAATGAATTTGTTCACTTTTGTAATTTTCACCTTATTTACAGGATACACAATCGAGCTCCTGAACTTTTTACACCGTTCATGTTTTCTCCTTTTCTCTCCAACATAAAAGAAAGATAAACGGTGCAAAAAGTTCAGTTAAAGATGGCTGAAAGAAACAGATTTCTTATAGAACCGGCAGAGTTATTTATTGCGATATTTCGAAGACACAAAATTTCTGGAGATTGAAGGGAATATGATGCAATGTTAGTCGTGGAATCAGTCATAAGCACAGTCGTTTCGAACAATTCGTTTACAGATTCTCGGTATTCCTTGGAAGATCTCAGGTGTAAACGTCATAAAATTGTCGACAATCCTGACAATCTGACGGACACGTGCAAAGCTTATTTTATTTTTACGTTACGAAAACCGCGTGACAGAACGCGGTGCGACGTCATCGGGTACGCAAGCTAGTGTTCCTAGAGGATTCCTATAACGTAAGCTCGAGATGTTGCCCATTCGACAGGTTCTACGTCTTGGTGCACGTGTAGTATGCACTCGGCATGCAGCATATTGTCACGTTCCAATTTTGCGCGAACCGAGCAGCATTGGAGCATTCCGTCAAATGCGATTTACTCACGAGGACAGTGGCACTCGCACAGAATTGGGCAAATTAAAGGGGAAGCTGAAGCTAATGTTTACATGTAAGAAATGCAAAACGAGAACAAGCAAAATGATATCGAAGCTAGCTTATAATAAAGGAGTAGTAATAGTGAGATGCGACGGTTGCAATAACAATCACCTTATTGCCGATAATTTAGGATGGTTCTCAGAAATTGGTAAAAGTACAAACATTGAAAGAATCATGGAAATGAAAGGGGAGACTGTACGAAAAATAATGAATGATGAGGATGGCTATTACGAGGCTGTTTTGAAAGAGGAGTTCAAGTCACAGAACAAGGATGCTGATGAAATAAAATCAGACGACGAATGCTCTGATAAAATTAAAATAATTGACAAATCGCAGGGAAGCTAAAATTCCTTTTGAATAGCATAGCCCTTATCCTACAAATAAAAGTAGAATGTAAGTGTAGGCAAGTACAAAATGTTCTGTTATAAATTTATTGAAGAATTGGTATGTTTATAATATGTAATGTTAATAAATATAGCCACAAAATATATGCAGTTGTTTTAAAAATGCAGAATATACTGAAAAATCATATTTAAGTTTAGGTGAATTATTGTTGCGCTGGTTGGAACATCATTTTAAAACAACAAAATTCATCTGTAGATTCAAATTTACTGATATTTACTGTTTTCTTTTTTTACATTATTGGTATCTGAAAAACAAAAGAAGTGGAAGATTACACATGTAAGAATCAACCTTACGCATGTATATAGTTTTTTAAATATACTTATATCTGCTAGAAATAGTCTAACAATACTTGTTCTAAAAAATAATTTTTTCTTACATGTCTGTTCAATATATTTTAGAATTTATCGATTGGCGCAATTCTTATGAATAATTAGTGTGTCCGGTGAATACTACCTAATATTCGAATAAATGAATAAAAAGTGAATGAAAATACTCATTCGAATACACTTCTTTTTTATTCGTCAAGAAACGAATAAATATTTTTCATTCCATTTGAATGAATATTTTTTTAATATGATTACGAATATTTTCGTTTTATATTCACTTTTACTCTGTATTATCTGTACATAGTTTGCAAGAGAAAACAATCTATAAAACCAATGGCTACGATTACCGTGCGCTTAGTCCGCAATCTATATGATGGGCGTCCTTGTTTAACCTATAGGTTAAACAAAGATATTTTTGTTGGAAATAAATAATATATTTTGGAATTTAATGTCCACAGACCATAATAAACGACGCGCCCGAGATATCTTATAAAATGTTTATAACATTACTGTGATGTAATCGGAATTATATCGGAATATGTATGGCGCTCTATCAAATAAATATTTATAAATAAAAAATGTATTACTTTCTAAAATATTTTTCAAAATTTTTAAGTTTTCTTCATAAAATTTGAATATTACAATGACAAAAATAAACAAAATTCTATTTTTATTACTTAAGTCATCAAAGTGCCGGTTATGAGGGATAACGATTGCTTATTGGAGCTTTCTTTTTCAGTTTATACTTTGTTTGAATGAATACGAATACTTGTCAAATATTTATAATTTTTTGTGAATAAATATTTTTTGAAAAAGCAAAATTTTGACTGAATATATAGTTACATCTTTTTACGAGAAAATTTTGAACAATTTGGAGCTCAATTACAAATTTTTGTATTCATCGGGCACACTATGAATAATTGTCTATTTATATATATTAATCGATATTTCAATCAATGGTACCAACAAGACCATTTGTTTGGCACAAAGGACATATTATTACAAATGGCTTTTCAACAAATTCTTAAAATCATTATGATACTTTATACAATTTTGTAAAAAGACTACAAATAGAAAAAAACATATAAAAGTAGATATTTATTCTTATTTATACCATTATTGCATATGATTTGTAGTCATTAATTTAAGCATAATGAATAATAATGGTTTCTTATGAATGAATAGCCCATGTGCCTCATAGATACATATTTGTAATGTACATAATAAAATTTTTTTGTACTTTTAATATTTTGGATCTTTCAAATCCAATATAATGATTTTCATAGGAATTAATATCTACATTAAGGCACATGATCGATTCGATCGCCGATGAAAGCACTAATATTCATAACGCATATATTATATTTTATATACAATATATGTGTATAAAATTGCGGCAGCATATAATATTAAATATCTATAAGTTTATCCAATTGTGATGATCTGTTAATTATCTCTTTATGAAAAACATTTATATCAAATTATGTACATATTTATATATCAATAGTTTTGCACTTTTTAAATGAATCATCAAATTTATAACATGCCTGTATAGAAAATAAACATATTTTTGAATTGTTTATAGAGATAAATAATAAACATGAATTATCTATATATATATATATAATATAT